CTTAATATTGTCTATAAAGATGCTGATTTTTAGTGATGTATCCCTGAAGCTTATATAATGGTATGATGGATTTACTCCAATTTCAAAAAATGTTAACAGCATGAAACAGAAATCATAAAGCATCAAGCTGCACACACACCATGATTATGTGTGACGTGTATATACATATAAACATGTATTTACATATATGAATATATAACATGCATTGCAGAAGTATAGATTATACACAATATATGTTTTATGTGGGAAAAAAGAAGAGGTAAGCAGAGATCTGTCTCTCCCCATTCTTGCTCATGGAGGAAGGTAAGAGGCAGGAAGACAGACACCCCTGAGCAGGCAGAGCTCACCAGGAGCTCTTCAATCTCGGACTTTTCCGACCTCAACACTATGAGAAATAAATAAACACTTAAACCACCTCAACTGGTGGTTTAAGCCACCCAGTCTGTGGCATTCGGTTATGGCAGCTCAGCAGACTAAGACACCCCTGTATGAGTCTGGGCCTCCTCTGGGGCCCCCAGTTCTCCAGGTCCCTTGTGAGAAGAGGATCTCAGGCCTGCTTCCTCTGGTGTTTTCTTTAAGTCTGAGAAACAGGCTCCCCAACCTCCAGCCCAAAGGGCTTTCCCTTCAGAAATGACCACTGACCAGAGGAGGAAGAGGATGGACACACAAAAGGGCCGGGGGGGTCCAGGGCCCTCCCTAGTGGCGCAATGGGTTTGAAGCGCAGCACTGTGAAGCCCCCCCCCCCAGCCACTGCAGCACGAATTCAATCCCCTGCCAGGGAGCTGACCCACAGGGCACGGCAGACCTCTCCTGTCTCACCCTCTGCTCCCCTTAGCAGTGTATCTCAGTCAATCCACCTGTTCTGCTCCCCGCTCTGTCTCTGGTGAATCCCCTTACCACCCCCACACCTCTGACCTGTACCCCAGATCTTGTATGCATAAATAAATAAATATTTTTAAAAAGGGGAGGAGTATCCAGAGAGGGATCAGCTGAGGCTGAGGGCCCCAGGGGGGCCCAGGGCAGGGGGACTAGCCCAGAAAGGGGGCAAAGGCACTTCACCCCGAAGCTCCTGGTTGCCCCCCAGCTTCCTCCCTGGTGTGCTCCTAGGCGCTCACCATCCCTATCCTCTCTTCCTCCAGCACCACAAAGCCCTGGACCCACTTTCTTCCTCCAGAAAATCAGCCCCACCCCGCTTGGCCCCCACCACCACCACCCCTGCACCAGACAAGTGGGCAAGGCCACATGTCATTGAGGACGCAAGTCTCTCTGGAGCCCAGAGCCCACCAGCCTCCAGGCTCAGCAGGGAATGAGACGGGCCCTCCAGCCCAGAAGCCAGACTGAACGCCCCAGTGCAGGCAGACAGGCAAGAGGCAAAGAAGCATCACCTCTGCAGGCAGTGGTAGCAGGTACAGGAAAACCAGGCAAGGTAAGAGGGTGGTCAGAGTCGCCCTCAACAATGACTACTTGGGGTATCTGTACCCCACTCCCCGCCCCCCTGGAGGGTACCTGAGGGGCATCTTACACTGGCTCCCCGAGGCCCCAGCAGGACTGAGTTGCCCACAGCGGAACTGGCCTGAAAGCACCCTCCCCTCTTCCTCTGCTGTTTCAGTGCTTCTGGCATCGCCTCCCCAAGGAGCCACCTGCTCATAGCCTCTCGCAGGGTGGGGTTCTCGGGGAGCCCAAACAGCCACCCACACATGGGGAGGTGGAGTGGGGGCCGGTGGGCAGACAAATGGTGTGACATCCGCTCTCGCAGGGGCCTCTCTCACAAGCCTTCCCAGACCGGGCCCTCTGCGGGACTGTCTTGTTCTGAGCCAGCTGCGTGTGGGGAGGGCAGGCGCCATCTCTGCCCGGGGTGGGCAGCAGGCTTCCGTGGCGCAGAACTCTGGGACAGAATCTGAAGGGAATAAAGGGGCCTCCCCCTTCAGCAGCACCGGAGTGGGACGCAGGCAGCTCACTCCCCCCTTTCAGCCCCCAAGTAGAGCTTTCCTAGCCAGGACAGCAGTAGGAAAAGGCGAGAGGCACAGGCCCAACCCGAGCGTGACTTCCTGTCCAATTCTGTGCTCCTGGGGCAACTGCCAGCTGAGGGGGGCAGGACCGAAGCCTCCACTTTATAGCACAGACACAGGGCGTCAGCCGCCCAGGCAGCCATTCCTGGCTTTCACTTGAAACTCTGACACTTAAAGTGCAGCTCCCAGCTACAGATGCAAACAAGACAGAAATCCCCAGCCCTCACGGAGCTTAGATCCCCCAGGGGCAGGCAGACAAGAACCCAGGTAAATGAGTGACTGAGGTGTTAGATGACAAGGGCTGTGGAGACCAAGGCAGGAAGGGGACAGGGAGGGTCAGTGGGGACTGGGTGATCCTGCTTCAGCCAGGGAGGTCAGAGGCCATTCTGAGAAAGTGACACAGAGCAAAGCCCTGGAGGAGGCTGGGAGGCTGCCAAGAGTGCGGAGAAACCCGGAGGGGCAGCCAGTGCAAAGGCCCTGAGGCAGAGCCTGGCCCCTGTGGCTGAGGGACAAGGGGCCACGTGACTGGAGCAGAGGAGTAGCTGGGAGAGGAGGCGCCAGGTCAAGGGGGGGGTGGGATGGAGGCTCAGGCAGGTGTGAGTCACACGGGGCCTCATAGGACTGTGAGGCTTTTCACTGCCCCCTATGTCTCCCCAGGGTGTGAGATGTGAACAGGAGGTGGAGGTGAATGGCCACTGCTTAAAGGCTCCCACCTGCTGGGGGACAGGGGACGACAGGGGGCAAGGCACACAGGGTCCCTGCTGGAAGGTGGCCGCGGCCCTCCAGGGAGGGGTGAGGGCGCCCCTCCACCCCGGCAAAGCTGGGAGCAGGGAGAGGGCTTGGAGTCTGGAACACCGTGACGCTGGAAGCAGGCAGCGTCAGCTGACGGTGGGGATGTGAGCGTGAGAGGAAGGAGACGCGGATGGTTCCAGGGCTTCGGAGCAGCTGGCAGGTGGGGCACTGTTTGCTGAGATGGGAAGCAGTGAGAGGAGCCGCTGCTTTTGGGGTCCTGAGATGCCTATTAAGAATTGAAGGAATAAAATTTGCTTAAACTGTAATGGGGAGAAAGAGGGAGGGCGGAAAGAGGGAGGAGAGAGGACCCAATGGATGTCTCCTTGTTCTCCCTAGATCTCCTGTGCTGGGGGTCATGCAAGGAAGGGACAGTCTGGAGCCAAATTCTTCTCACAATCCAGGTCCAGTCCCCTGGCCGAGCGCCAGGCCTGAGTGCTCCCAGGGCAGGGGGGAGGGGAGGGGGCCGGGGAGCAAGCTGGCTTCCACAGGCAGCTGTGCTGGATGTGGCCCACTGGGTGCGAGGGGCTGGTGCTGGGGATTGTCCCCCAGGAGGCCATTCTTGTGGGCTCACTGCCTGAGTCCGGCGGGCAATGGAGCGTAGGAATAGACAGTGCGAGCAGAAACAGCCGAAGGACATGTGGGGCAGAAAATGACAGATGGGGCTGGAGAGGGGGTGACGTGGCCTGGAGAGGCAGGCCAGGAGCCAGGAGGTCGTGGCCGGGCCCAGAGGGGCTAGGGAAGGGCCAGCTCCTTCCAGATCTGGCAATAAAAACCTGCCCTCCAGGCCTCGCCAGCCCACAAGCCCCCTTTCTGGGTGGCTGGAGCCACGACTGATGCCAGAGCCAGGCCCTGGTGGGAAGAAGGGATTTCAGCTCCTCCCAAAGGAGGTGACCAGCTGTGGGTTCCAGCTCAGCACCTTCTGCAGATGCAGAGGGAGACAGGGGACAGAGGGTGGACACGGATACCTGGTTCCCGGGCAGATGTCACCCCGCCTGTCACCCTGAGCCCTGCTCCTCACCCCCAGGCTCCTCATCTCAAAGAGGGAGGCTGAAGCCCAACACCCAGCAGGTGCAGCGACATTTGCAGAAGTGAAAGAGCCGCGTCAGCTCTCAGGCTTCCCCACCCCATCGCAGGCCTGGGGACCCCCGTCAGCCCTGCACCGGGTTCTCTGATGCCCAAGTGACCAGGGGAAAGAGAAAGCCCACAATATGGTGCCAGGTCCCAGCAAGGGACCCCGCCAAGTCCTGGGGGGCGCTGGACAGAGAAGGCAGGAGAAGGGGCAGGCCCTATGCCGCTGCGGGCACCTTAGGCTTGCCCAAGGCTGCACGCCAACCCGGCTCCTGCCTCAGGCTGGGGTCTCCTTCAGCCTTGTCCCAGATGCACCCCACCCACAGTGCTGCTGAGGCCCCTCCTGCCCCTCGGGAGCCCAGAGGTCGGCTGCCCGCTCCTCTCTAGGCCCCTGCCCCGCCCCCTCCGGCAGCAGCGCCTCCGCAGTGCCCGCCAAGCTTCCCAGCAGCAGCCGGTCCCCAGGAGCAATGCAGCAGAGGGACAGAGCGGGGAGGAGGGGAGGGCCACAGACACCCCACCTCCATGGGGCCTGCTCTCCTTCACCCCAACATGGAGACCTGGGCTTGCTGGGGGTAGGTAGGACAGGGTCCCTCGGGACATCTGGGGGTCTGGGTCCGCAAGAACTGGGGTACAGCCTGATCCTGGGGATGAGCAGAAGAGAGACCCTCTCACTGACTGGGGATGGGGGGGGCTCTAAGTCAATGCCTGAGATGAGGGTGCCAGCAGGGATGTCACTGGTGTTGGGGTGTGGGAGGTGAGTCTGCGGGGTTCCAAATGGCCACAATCTGACAGTGCCCCCAAGTGGGGGTGGGGAGCATCCAAGCTTCTCCCAGCCTGCCCCTCCTTCCCATCCTCGGCCTGGGCTGGAGGGCCTTTCTATGGTCAGGACCTGTGGCAGGGGTAGAGACAGGGAAGGAAGTCCAGAGGAAAAGCAGTGGTGGGGACAGTCCTCCCAATGGGGAGAACCCCGGTTCTGAAGGCTCTGAAGAGGGTCTCTCAAGATGCGGGCGGCCTCCCCCCACCACCACCCTCAGCTCCACAGGCCCTGGCCCCTCATCACGCTGCTTTCCTCCAGGTGCTGCTGTAGCCACGCAGGGCCAGCCCGGTTCCACTCTGCAAGCAGCCACTTACCTGGGCCTGTCTGGGGACCAAGCCTGGGGCAGGTAGGAGCTCACTGCCCCTGCTGGGCCGGGCCAGGGCCGGAGGGGCGGGCTGTTCTCCTCCTGCTCCGTGGTGGCGGGCGGGGAGGGGGCCTGGCGCCCGGGCCGGGGGGGACTCTGGCCTCTTGGGTTCCCTCCACTGCCTGCTCCGGAAGGCAGCAGCACCACAACTGCAGAAGCCAGCTCCCCGCCCCCCACTGCTGCCTCCTCCCTCTCCCTCCTCCTGACCCGCCTCCTTCTCCAGCCACCCACCTCCTTCTGCTCGTTTCTATGGCAACGAGGCACAGCCAGCCTCCCTCCCTTGTACACCAGGGGACGCCCGCCTTCTACGAGGCGCCTGCATCAGCACGGCGGCGGGGGCGCGGGTGGGCAGGCGGGCACACACTCTTCACCTTCACTGAGATGCTGGGATCACACAGGCGCAAAGGCTGGCGTCCCTGCTTCAGGTCCTTTCCTCTCTTTCTCCCCAAGACGCTGCCTCTCCACATCCCCTTGAGGCACCAGAAGCTGCATCTTCCCAAGCGCTTCGCTGGGCTCCTTAAGATCTCACTGCATGCCGCTCTCTGTATATGTGTATTCGCTTCATCATTCACCCCATCACGCCCACAGACTTATTTCGAGACTTCTGGGTCACACTGTGTGTGATGCTCATCTCCAATCTCACTCCGTGAGCTCTTCTTTTACAGTTTGGAAACTGAGGCCCTCAAGCAAAACAACTCGCCTGAGCATCTGAGCTCCAGGCTTAGTCACTGGCAGTGAGGATTTAAGCATCCAACTCTGATGCTTCTGCCACCAGCCACTGCTCGAGCAAATGCAAAGACGTGCGCCACACGTGGTCCTTCCACACCAAGGTGTGTGTGCCAGCGCGCACCGCAGCAGCAGCTTATGCGTGCAAACACCATGCACGTCCACAAGTCTGAGCATCTGTTGCCCACATGTGCACATGATAACACGTGCATGGACACACACATCTTTAAGATCTGATAGATACAGACATGCAACACGTAAACCTTTCCTACACAAAATCACAGCTGCATGTCCAAGCCCCCAGTCCTAGCTTCATGGGAGGGGGTCGGCAATGTGGGTAAGAGTGTCCCCCTGGGGAATCTGACAGGTCTGCTCAACACCCCCATTAGGGATCAGACATTAATCTGCACGTCGTTTCTCACTCTGCAGCTGAAGAGGTCTGGGGTCAGGCTGGAGTCAGGCCTCCCTCCATCCTGCTCTGTCGGGTAGATTAGAGTCCACCTACAGCCCTCAGATCTAAGGACTCACATATGTCTCTTGCTCCCTGGTCGTTGGTCACTCTTGGAACTCGGAGTTATGAGAGGAGAGAGTAGGGTGGGACCTCCCCCTCAGAGGAAATCCCAGAGTTCTGAGAGCCCAGCTAGCCCTCTAACACCCCCCCTTCCACCCACCCCCCCAAAAAACATTCAGAGGCAGGAGGGGTTGGTGGTGGGAGACCAAGTGAGGACTAGGCCTAGGGCCCGGGGCACACAGCACACCCCACAGTACACACTGTCCCCAGGCCAGCACCATCTTGGAAGGGCCCAGGCATGGAGCAAGTCTCCAAACCCCACACAGCCCAGGGAGGGCAGATACAATGGGAAAGTGAAAGGTCACCCAGGCCCCTCACCCAGGCCCCCAGAGCAGCACAAGGAAAACTGTCCTGTGGTATCAAGATGAGAGAGCTGCTGAGCTGGCGTCAGGGTTTCACCCCAGAGAGCCACCCTGATAAAGGTCAAAGACCCTGAACAAACAGGACCACGACCAAAGGGACCACGTGGCTCTTCCACTACTTCCCCAGCCCCGACAGAGCGGGGCATATAGAAGACCACTAGTCTGTACACTGGGGGCACCTCCCAGGCCCCCTCTGGGGAGCCTGAGGAACTCGCCTGCCCAGGAGCTCAATAAAGCCTGCTCCTATCTTCTGTCTCCTTGCCTTATTCTATCCACGGGACCTTACAGAAAGAATCAGAAGTCCACTGAAAATTAAGCGAAAAGCTGCCTGATCCCTATTTCAACCCATCTGAGACCCTCAACACGACTGCCTCCCAGTAACTAAGACACGTTCTCAGTTGAATGCCATGTCCAGACAGCAAATATTAAGCAGATATTTACTGAGCGCCCGTGAAGTGCGAGGGGCTGTCCTGAGTTCTGGGACTAGGTTCTGAGACCCATCATAGCAAATCAAAGTCCTTGCCTTGGAGGAGACAAACTTGTAGATTTCCTAAATTCCTGTTCTCCCCAGCCCTGCAGATGATGTCACAGGCCTGATTAGTAAACAGAGCCTCTGGGAGATGGAGCAATTTGCCCAAGGTGATAGATAAAGCCAGTCAAAATCTGCGTTGGAATTTGACTCCAACCCTGGCCCCAGTCAAGTTTTTTCCAAAGTTCCACATTGGTTCCAATTAAGAAACGTCTGATTGAAAACACAGCAACAGTCACACAATTTCTGGAAGTTTTACACTAAGTGTTCTTCTCATCCTTAGATCAAAGGCAGGACATGGTCACATGTACTCAGAGAGCCAGTCAAGTAGCAGGCATGTGTGAGGACCCCAAAAACCACAGATGACTTTCAGCCCGGCCTTCTGTAGGCCAGAAGCCTGATGCTGGGTGTCCCCAGGCCTGAATCCTCAACAGAGCATAGGTCAAGGCCCAGGTCAAGAGGGAGGGAAGACCAGCAGGCAGCAGACTCCATGGAGAGCCAGGAGGCCTCAGCTCGGGGCAGGGAGGGATTGAGTTCCCAGGCCCTATGAGCAGAACCCCCTGCCCACCTGCTGGCCTCCAGCCCTGGATCATCTTTCTCCTAAGGAGTCAGCTCTATTGGGGATACCAAAGATAGCTGCCCCCCACCTACTCATCTGTCAACCTGATCTGGTCCCATCTGCTGCCTGGCAGACCCCTGAGATCTGCTTGCCCACACTCAGACTCTGTGGGAGACGATGACCCTTCTGTCACTCCCCACCCCTCCCCCACAGTCAACCTGATCCAGCCCCATCTGCTGTTGGGAGGACCCCCAAGTCACCCATCTGCATCCTTTTACTATCCCACTTGCAGGTCCCAGGTAGGTGCAGAGACACCCCAATATTACAAAGTATACTCACCCCCATGCCCAACCCCAGCCCTTATTCCAGGACCTTCACCACAGGATGACTCAATATACAAATGAAGAGACCTCACCTAGGCCACCAAGCTGTCCCGTGCCCCCTGGGAGATCTGATCCTGCTGTCACTACCTCCTCACCCAATCCTATTCATTGGCAACCCCCCCACCCCACCTCCACCCCCAACCCCCAGTTCAACTCCTATTCCTACTACCGGGGCAAAAGCAATCAGGGCTCATTAGCTGCAGCTCTGTATCTCATTTGCATAATGTTCCAGTGACTGACAAAATGCCAGAATCTCTCCAACCCCTGCCCATGGGGCTGGCCAGCAATGAAGAAATAAAATAGCCCAAGTTCCCTTGAGAGTCTGGACAAAGAGCTAAACAAGAGCAAAGCCAGGAGGACTTTTAAGTTTCAGAACCTGAAATGCATGTAGAATCTGACAACAGGCATTCACAGAGCAAATGAGCAAGGTGCCTTGTACACTTTACCCAATGTTTTCTCCCCCCCACCTTTTTTTTTTAAGATTTCATTCTTTCTTTTGTTAAAAAAAAAAAAAAAGATTTATTTATGCATAGAACAACTGGAGTGTTGGCCAGAGGTGCAGGGAGGTGAGAGGACTCACCAGAGACAGAGTGGGGAGCGGAACAGGCTCATCACTAAGACACACTGCTGAGGGGAGCAGTGGGTGAGACAGGAGAGGTCTGCTGCGCCATGTGGGTCACCTCCCTGGCTGGGATGGAACTCAGGCCTCAGAGGTGATAGCATGATAGGGCTGTGACTTAATCGCTATGCCACCATAGAGGCCTCTACTAACTTATTTTCATAATGACCCATTTTATAGGAGTGGAAAACAAGGCTTAGAGTGGTGAAAATCTTGCTACTCAAAGTCTGGGACCCAGGAACCAAAGCTTGGACATTTTCTGTGAGCTGGGAAGAGATGCAGAACCCAGGACCCATCCAGGTCTACTAAATCAGAATCTGCATGGTGACCAGTGCACATTCGTTGAAAAGCACCCAGCTAAGGGTTTGCACTGCAGTACCACTGGAAGGCGAAGCTGGTGTCAGAACTGAAGTGCATCTGACCAAATCCCATACAGGCACTTCAAAACTAAATTAAACATCTTAAAACCATTTTCTGAGAGCGGCATTGTTCTAGGCTATGAGACACAGCAACAAGCCACAAGATAACCTCAAGGACATTTCATACTAGAGGGAGAGGCACACACAAATAAACACTAGAAGTTCAGTGATCAGTACCACCAAGAAATAAACAATGAAGGGTAAGTGAACAGGGAGGATAAGCGAGGGATCATTTTAGAATCTGTCTTCGAAGAGATGAACAGAGCCCTCACTAAAGGGGGAAAGGACATATGGGATAATTTGAGGGAAGAGTATTTCTGGCAGAGGAAAGAACAAGAGCGAATTCCTGAAGCGAAAGTAAGCTGCCACACTGAGCACCCCAAAACTGGGTGGGTGGATGAATGGATGGATGGGGGTGAGTATAGGAAGAGATAACAGTAGAGTAATCTAGTCAGAGAGAGGTCGCACATAAGAGCAAGGTGGGTTTAGACTTTTTAGCACTTTGCAGACCATGGTGAAGACTCTGGATTTTATTCTAAGTATGAATGGAAGCTACTGGTAGTTTTGAGCAAGGGGGTGGGGGTGGGGCGGGGAAGGACCTAATTTTGTTTTCAAGAGATCATAGCTTTCATGTGGGAAATGACTAGAAGGAGAGAAGGGCCAAAGCAAGGAGACCAGTTAAGAGGCTTTTGCAATATTTATTCCAGTAGAAATAAGTGCTTGTGGTCACTAAACAAATGTCCAAGAACATTTGTTCAAAATAGAAAATTCTGTTCAAAGCAGCTTTGTTCATAATAGCTCCAAATTGGAAGTAACCCAAATGTCCGTCCACAGAAGGACTGATAAACAAACTATGTGGTCCAGTGCATGTAATAGAGGTCTTTTGCTCTTTCAGTGTTGTCTGGGCTTTCACTGTGCAAATTCCACCCTGAGATTTACTCACACAGTTGAATACTACACAGCAATGAAAAAATCTGGCTACA